CTCGAAATGACTCGAAAAAAAAAATTATATAACTTTTTATATAACAATATATTACATATATTATTTATATAATAATATATTATATATATTTATGTCCAAGTTTAAATTATAACACCTCATGTGGCAATGTGGCTAGTATCTTCTTTTGTATATATTTGATTCAGGTTCGAATCCCACACTTTACATTTATTTTTCTCAATTTTAGTTTCACGAGCCAAACACGAACACGAGCCAAACACGAACACGAATATTTAAATCGAGCCGAACACGAACACACTGTTCACGAACCCATTTCGAACACGAGCCGATTTCGAACACGAGCTATTTCGAACGAGCCGAACACGAGCCAAGCCTGAGCTCGCTCAAGCTCGGCTCGTTTACAACCCTAAATCGCAGAGAGGAAAAAAGGAGAATCGCAGCAGAGAGAGTCAGGTGATGAGAGTAGAGAAGAGAAACCTAGGGCACGGGATGAGGAGATCATCCCAGGATATTATCGCCAAGTTAAAACAGGAAATGCGGGCCACAGAGTTCGACCCGCGACCGGCATGTAATAGAAAAGGATCCGTGCAGATTCTCGAACACACTCTAAACGCATGAAACAAACAGCAGGGGCGGCGTTTTGAAAACGCATAAGCAGCAAATAAGCTACCCAAAACAGACCCTAAATCTTATTGATATAAAAGTGGAGGTATAAGTGCAGATTACATGACTCTAACATTGGAAAGAGATAAAATAGGAAAGCACACAAATAGAAAATACATAAAACATGAAGGAAATATAGAAAAAGGAAATAAATCAATGCTAATAACTTTTAATATCTCCTTTAGTAGGGCTCGAGTTCTTTTGCACACGTGCAGGGCTAACGAAAGCTTTTTGTCTTCTTGGTTCAATTCCACGCACCAGGAATCGTACACCTCTTTCCCATATTGTAACTCGTTGACGCAGTCCGAACCCAAACCTGATCATCTGCTCAATTTGGTTCGCCAGACGACGATAATCTCTTTGCTACAAGCACATGAGATTTGTCTTCTTTCCATTGTCAGTATTGCGGCCTTCGACCACATCGTCTCTTCTCTCGAGCCATTTGAATATCACACACGAAGGTAATCCTTCGATCCTTCTGTTGCCTTTCCCTCATCTCCTTACGTTTCTTCTAAATGGTCCTTGCTCGATATGACTTCTCCAAATACGACTCTCTGCTCAATACGAATCTTCGGATTATAACGCTATAACATTATATAAGATCTGATGTTACACTCTACTTCTCTCTTTCTTGTTTTGGCTTGCTTCCAGGGTGTCAAAGTCGTTCGGCTTCAATAAGGAAACTTCCTTCCTCATTTGCCTGGTTATCTGGCTTTAATTTTCCATTGAATTAAGAGGCGTTACATAAATCAACGTCGTTTACGTTTAGCTCTCAGTTGAATTGCAGTTAATCTTTGATAGCTTAAACTTTTCATTCTCCCGATTCAATGTTTGATTTACTTCTAAAAATTTAGGGCTTATTTGTTATCAAGTTTATTTATTTTTATTATTTTTTATTTTTTCATATATTTTTAAAATTATGCTTATTTAGTGTATTTTTTATATATATATATTTTTTTATTTTTAAAATCAAATTAAAATGTTTTCAAAAATACTTGGAAATAATTTTTAAATATTTTGAGTATTTTTAAAAGTAACCTCATCTTAATCAAATATGTCAAAAAATATTTTGTTTCAAATCAAAATATAAACAATCTGAAATAAAAAAGAAAAACTAGAAGATAAAATACAATAATATTCTTAAATGGCCCCTTGACTATTGATATTGAGCAAACAAGCAGATGGAACTGACCTTTGAAACTCTTTTTTTCTGTTTTAACAGGTGAAGTAGAAGCATTGCTGCCTGTGATTGGAATGCTTCTACAATTCAGTCCTGATGAGGTAAATCTCATAATTTCTAACCTTAAAAAAAATTCTATAACATCATCTTTATTCAACAATCCAAGTAGTTTATTTTATTTTATTTTCAAATAAAATACTTAATATTAGCAATGCAAGATGCCCATCAATAATACGGGCTGATGATCGACTGGCATCATTCTAACCAATATCGTTTGCATCTTCAACCTATATTTTCCTCCCAAACCTGTAGATAAGGAAGTGCCAACAAGCATACCGTTCAAACGTCGTTGCTTCAAGCCCATCAGCTTCTGTGGAATCCACACCACGCTCACTCTTTTCAAGATTCTCCTTCACAGGATGATATCAATCAAATCCTATCAGTCTGGTACCAGTACAATATGATTTAATCCATGTACACTGTTCATTTTTGATAATTTTTTTTTACAGCTAGCGGGCATATAACCTTTTTATATGGGATATATTTTCAATTAACATTTATGTACAGTTGTTTCACGTTCATTTGGGATGGAAAGTTGAGATAAACTTGTGATGATCTTCCAGTTTTGAACTTGGTATCTGCTTTTATGTGGAGACAGTTGATGAGCAAAAAAAAAAAAATTTGAAGGTGTATTTTGACTGATTAATTTTCGATTTCAGTGTATACTTTGCATAGAGATGAGGAATTTTGCATGGCTTTATTTACGTAGCTGGAGGTATTGGTGAAAATGGATTAGTTGTTTGGTGGCATTTATCTTATTAGATTTGAATGTGTGGGACAACCTATGGCCTGATATTATAAACTCTATACCGTTTTTAATGCAAAATCCATATTCCATTAAAGTAGACGCAGATAGAATTTGTCAATATGGTCGTGGTCCAACTTGATTTTGGAAGGAATTATCATTCAAAGATCAACTTAATGGTCTTAATTTATTTTTCCTCAAAGTTGTTTTTTGTTCTGTAGAGCTCACTTTAAAATGGGTTAATTTAAATAAAAAAAACAGATTTTTTACTTGCTTCAAATGACAAGTAGCATGTATAATAAATGTATTACAACACAATTCAATTTCTGAAAATGGCATGGTTAAAATTTAATTTAGCTTATTGAAAACTAAAATACTAATTCAAATATGAACCTTTTTTTTTTAATTTAATTCAATATTTAATTGCATTTTATTTTTGTTAGTACTAGGGAGCTTAAAATTGGACTTGAATGTGGTAGAGAATGGTCTTGTTATACCTATCATACATAGAAAAGAAATATTGAAACTAAATTGAATAGCTTAAAATGAACTTGAAATTTTAATGGAGCATTTAGTAACATACCACTCCATTCCTATGTACTTACACATCTAACAATTAAATTTTACTTTTTATATTTATACCACTTAAAAACTTTCACATCACATTAAAAATATCAACTTTTACCTTTTTAAAAAATGAAATGCATTTGATGCACACGTAAATACATAGTAAAATTAAAATTTAATTGTTTGATATATAAATACATATTAATTGAGTGCTATGCATGGAAATGCCCCAATTTCAAAATAATCAGTCCATCAGCCCATTCCAACCTTTTAAGAGAAATATTTTTTTGACAATTTCATCACTCTACCAATACTTTGTTCTATCGATATTTTATTAAAACAATGATGATAAACTAACTATTTTATTCTCCCCTTCAATCATCCTCTCACCAGCTTCAGAAATTGGTGCACCTTTCATAGTATCCATAATGATTTTTCCAAGCACAATTCTGCTTTCATTCAAATCCCCTTTCTTGAGCAGCTCATAGTTTATCTCATGCCTCTCTCTCCCCTTTTTTGAATGGAGATTTTCTGCTTTCTTTGCTTTGGATGAATTGTCTTCCTCCTTGCAATGACCGTTTATGCAAATATCAACATCAAAGAGTTTTGATACTTTCCTCCCCATGTTTGGAGAAACAAAAATCTACACAATTCAAAACAGCAAGTTTTGAGTATAACATTATGCCGCATTGCTCGATGATAATCCAAGACTTGACATGCAATTTTATTTACCAGAATTTGCATATATATTAAAAAAGGTAAAAAAAGAGAATGATACATTAATAGATGGATCTCACTTACCAGCGCTTGAGCTGATAATGGAGGATTGTATTTGGCCAATGATTGTTGAAGAACCTCTGAATCAGTTAAAGCTTTAATGGAAGACTTTACCAGTGATGCAAACCGTGAAGTTTCTTCTAAAAGAAGTTCGTCTGCTTTAGCTACTGAGGATGATAAAATTTCAGGAACGAAGTGAATGAGATTATCGGAGCTTCCTCTAACATATGCCACAGCTTCATTCCATGTCCCATGGTACAGTATAGAAGAAAAAGTCCAAATAACAAGAGAGTCTTGAGGATTATGTACCAAAGCCAGATGAAAAGCCAACAATCCTAGCCTGTTTCACAAGATGTCCGCTTTAATCAGCTAGATTATCATACTTAAACAACTTCAACTTATTCAACTTTATAAATCTGACATAATTGGTAAAAAAGAAGATGGTGACATTAGTCATGCAGACATGCTTGTTCATTGAGTCACACGAGCAACACGCGTGCTAATTACGCATGCCAAAAAGCACGAGAATGTACAATATAGAACAAATAATGTCTATAAAAATACTATTGATTTTTTACTCGAGCTGTCCTCTATGATGCCTGAGATTTGTATAGATGACACCAATTTAATATGAACGTTGATGACATCTTTAGAAATGCAACATTTACTAGGTTTCTTAGAAAGTGGAAGGTGGCAAAGAGCTCAAGCAGATTAGGGGCTCGTTTGGATTAGCGTAAAGTCCCCATTCGTCATTTCAAAAAGAAAAAAAAATGTAAATCATTTTCTTGTAAAGATTTTCGAAAAATGCCATAATTTTGTTATAATTATGGAGCACAATTACTGTTAGGCTTTTCCACTGCAGTTCATGGTCTGGCAAACAGTCAAAAATACCCTCAAAAAGCAGGAATCACGTACGATCTCACCAATAGATGGCGCTCTGAAACATTTAATCGGTATGAAATTTATCTGGGCATGATCTAGTATTTTCTATGCCTTGAAGCTGTAGTAAAAAGATGAAATAAATGACTACTACGAAAGCTTCGTGGGAAATACAAATGCCATCATATGACAGATTGAAAAAAAAATTTTTAGACTGTTCAGCATCAAACGTCACATGTATATAAATCTGTCTTAAATGGTACATTGAGCTTTACTCAGAATTAAAAACATGCATTTATGAAATAAATGGCTTTTTTTTTAACTGTCAAAGTCAATAGTTTGATCGTGGCACGCGTAAATACATCATGAGTTCAGAAAAACCATCTGGGTGCTTAATTTATAAATAGCAATGCTATGGATGGTCTGTGTGTAATTATCCCAAGTGTTTAATAGAACTATATGTCATGGGCTGTCAGGTATGTATAACTTCTTAACTACTAGTATTTTGAGAAGGTTATTGTTTCTTAAACACATGCACGCAACCTGTAATAGACCAATATTTTGGGAAATAAAAGTTTCTGATTTTAAGCCAAATTTATTAAAAGGACCGTTTTTTTTTAATTTTTATTTTTATTTTTTATTTTTTTGCAATTGTCGAGCAAGTTTTCAGGACTACACAAGTGAAAGCATAAACTTTTGGTTTTCTAATTTAAAAAATTGAATGAGTTATCATTTAGCATCTATGTATTTTTTTTTTGGTAAAATTAATTGAAGAATTGAAATTTGAAATTTATTTAAAAAAAAAGGTATTTTAGCCTTTTATATGAAAAAAGTTCCAGCTAATAATTTAGCCAAACAAATAATAAAGAACTTTTTCATTCAATAATGGACAAAAAAGGTTATATACGCAAGCAGTAGCATGAATGGAAAAACGGAGAATTTTGATGTCAATCTACATGCATGATATCTTTTATCAGCACTGATAAAGACAGAGAAAGGATGTAGCTATACCTATGAAAATGCTATTCTGGCTGAATCAACTGGCCGACTGACATGGCAACAAACATAAGAGATATCTACGTGATCAAATTACAAATCCCTCTCTCTCTCTCTCTCTCTCTCTCACACACACACATCTTTCAATTATATAGCACCCAATTCTCAAATCAAGATCATTCAGTTTAAAATTCACAAAAAATTAGTACAATCCCAAATTTTAAGATGATTTGTTCATGCATTAAAAATAGTAAAATAAAATTCAATGAATAGTCTAGAAATTGAGATAAATAATTCATTGATTACATACAGTGCTCAAGTTAAATGAAAGTTTTTAAACATGCATAGAAAGACATAAGACTTCCAGTCGATTTTATTTCACAAAATAAATGTAGTTGTCTTTTCAGTGGGGTGCACTACAAGGTCTATATTTCTTCATCAGGTTTGATCAATGGTAAAATCTTCAAGAAGAGGGATTAAATTGAATTACCTAGTTGTTCTTAGATTACATATATAAAATGATAAAGTTGATTTGCATTTGAATATAGCAGCATTAAAAACTAATTATGTGAAGAATGGATTTTTCATGTAAAAGAATAAATACTACTAATTTATATGTATACATAACTAGTCCAACTTTAGTAATGTATTTCACTAAACAAAATTATCAAATACACTCTAATATCATTAAAAAACATCTAAATAATTTCTAACCATCTAAAGGACTACAAATTGAAATTCCAACCATCTTCTTATGAATTGGAGTCATTAATTTAGCAAATTCTGTGCACTTGTTTGATGAGTAGCCAAGCTATAAAGTCTTTGAAATTTTGTGTATCACTAATTTTAAGTACTGTAAAAATATTGAGCAATTACAATCTTTCATTTAAAATAACTATTGTAAAATCAGCCCGTCTTGTTGATTGTAAACGTTTTTTTTTAAAGACTAAGTTTGATATTTTATGTCTTTTAAAGAATAAAATGAACTCCTTTCATTTCTAATCCTTTGGTTCTAGTTATTACAATATTTTTATGAATGAAGATTATCTTCATACTTTGATAACTGCTGATCAAGGCAGGGCTTGGATAAAATGGACTAAAGATCTTTTGAATATCTCAGTTATGGATATTGATGCTCAATTTATTCATTGTCATGTTTATGTATCTTCTTTGGTAAATTTTTTTATGATTGTTATCTATACGGATAGAAGTGCTAATGTTAGGAAGAAGTTATGGAATTCTATTATCAATGTTGTAGAGAATATGACATCTCCTTGGATTATATTTAGAGTTAATTGTATTTTAAGGATTGATGATAAGGTTGGAGGTGTTTAACCTTTACCGTCCAAAATTATTTATTTTAATAATTGTATTTATAGTTTTGGACTCATTGAGATGCATATTTGTGGTTATTCTTTTAGTTGGTGTAATAATCAAATCTAATTATCCTATAAAATGTCTTCTTGACCGTGCTTTTTACAATTCTACCTTGTTGGATTTCTTTCCAAATTCTTTTTACAAAGTTTTAAAACCTTATTTGTCGGATCATCACCCTATTTTAGTTACTTTGGTAGCTCTTCTAATGTTCATTATAGATTTATGTATAAGAATTATTGGAGCTATTGTCCCGATTTTTTAAATATTGTTAATATTGGATGGAGAATCTCTTTTAATGGGGATCCTATTTTTTCTTTTTGTAATAGACTTTGGAATGTTAAGCTTGCTTTTTAAGAGTTGGAATTGGAATTCCTATAAGTTTTTCTCTCATTACATTGCTGGCCTTAATGTTAAACAGAACAAAATTATGGCTGAGTTGGAAAATTATCCTTTGTCTAAATGTCTTTTAGAGGAAGTCTCTCTCATTCAAAATAATCTTTCTAATAATTCTTATTGTAACTATAAGTGGGCCAAACAAAGAGCAAAATGTGTTTGGCTAACTAAAGGAGAAGATAACATTAAATTTTTATATCACAAAACTAAAGTTTAGGGTAATTCTAACTTTCTTAAGAAGATTTAGTTTATGGGAATTATGTTCACAATCATGATGATATTATTCATGAAACTATTTCTATTTATTCTAATTTGCTTAATGTTCCTTATTCTAATCATTATATTTTGGGATATTCCTTTCACATTAACACTGCTTTTTCTATTGAAGATTCTTTGTTTTTGATTCAAGATTTTTCTGACGATGATATTAAAATGATTTTCTTTTCTATTGGTTCTAATAAAGCTCATGGGTCGGATGGTTTTACTTTTAAATTTTTTAAATATACTTGGGATATTATTGGTAAGGATTGTATTATTGTTATTAAGTATTTTTTCTTTACTTTTAAGCTTTTAAGCATTCGACTATTGTGCTTAATTCTAAGAGTTCTTTGGCTAACTCTTCCTTTGATTATCGTCTGATTTCTCTTTGTAATACTTCTTATAAATTTATTTCTATTTTATTGGCTAATAGATTTAAAATTATTATTCCTAAAGTTATTCATCATTCTCAAGCTGCTTTTCTTAATGGTCGTGATATTGCTGACAATATCATTTTAGCAAATGAATTTTTTTATAAATTCAATTCCACTAGTTGTGCTAAAATGAATATTTTTAAAGCTTTTGATAGAGTTAACAGAGACTTTTTAATAAAGAGATTGCATAAGATTGGTATTCCTGCAAAATTTATAAATTGGATTTTCGTTTGTATATCTAATGTTCATTTTTCTGTTATTATTAATAATGATTTAAAAGGATATTTCTCATCTTTTTCTAGCTTAAGACAAGGTTGTCCTCTTTCTCTCTATCTTTTTGGTATTATGGTGGATTCTCTTTCTATTATGCTTGATAGACAGTTGGATGATCTTGGTAATGCTATGCATATTAAAAATTTGATTTATGTTGATGATCTTCTTATGTTTAACAAATCTGATTCTATCCATTCAAATTTTATTATTGAAACTTTCATAAATTTTTTTATTGCGTCCAATCTTCACATAAATTTTAGTAAATCTATTACTTCTTTTTTCTAAAAGTGTTGATGTTGTTTTACAATCAATTTTGCAGTTTATTTGGCTTTACTTTTAAGAGCTTGGCATGGAATTATCTTGGGGTTGTTATAAAACCTTCTAAATTAGTTATTAATGATTATCATAATCTTTTAGATAAGATTCATTTTTGGTTTGTTGGTTAGAAAAAGAAGCTTCTTTCTGCTGTTGATCGTTTTCAGTTGGTAAAATTTACAATTTGAAGTTATCTTTATTATTGGTTTCGTTCATCTTTACTTCCTAAAACTTTAAGGAAAAAAATTTCTTCTTTAATCTCTAAGTTTCTTCTTACTATTGATGATTCTAGTAAGCTTCATACTATTTCTTGGAAGAATATTATTCTTCCTAAGCATGTAAGTGGTTTAGGTTTGCCCTCTTTAGATAATATTAATACTATGTGTAAAAGTAAATTATTTGTAAAAGTTATAATCATCCTTCTTTTTTAAGTAATTGGTTGTTTAACCATTACGGTTCTTTATGTCAAAAAATTAGTTATTGTTCTTCTCCTTTTTGGAAAGATTGCTTCTAAAGTCAAATCCTTTTTAAATTTTCATAATGCTGATGATTCCTCTATGTTTTTTTATTTTTGATACTTTATTGGATGGTAAATCTCTAGTGAAAACTTATGGTGATCCTATTTTTACTTGGTTCAACATTCCTCTTAATTCCAAGTTAAATGTTATTATTTATAATAATAGATGAAATTTCTCAGGAAATCTTAATGCTCCTCCTTTTTGCATTTAGGCAATTAACAAAATTCCTATTACTAATGGTCTTAATTGTTCTTGGAGGAATGATTTGTTTTTTTCTATAAAGATGTTTACATTTCTCATTATAATTCTTTTTCTACTGTTAATTGTCATAATTTAGTTTGGTTTAAAGGCTATACTTTAAGATACGTGTTCCATACTTGGGAGATCATTGTTAAAGGCCTTAAAACTATGGAGATTTTACATATTAGAGGATTACATTTCAATTTAAATTGTATTTCTATCTTGGTTGATTGTTATTACTGTCTCGTTTTGATTCTTTATTATTTTTTGTTGTTGTTTTGGGTTGTTCTTTGTAATTTTGTCTCTTTTTATGTTTTCTTATAATATAGAGTGTTATTTTGTATAGTTTATTCACATTTTGCTACTGGTTTTGATGGTTGGCAAGTAAAAATTGTTTTGATGGATGATGGATTTTAAAGGCTCTAACTAATTTGTGTTCTTTGATTGCTTGTTTTATCTCTGTTGAATGTTCTTATTCTCTGTTGAATGTTCTTATTTTGATTCCCTTTTGAAAAATTTAGTAAATAGTCATTCTTTTGTTGTACCTTCTGATATTTTTTATTTCATTTATTATGTTGATAACTTTACTTATAAAACTAGTAAGAGGTTTTATTTATTATATTTGCAAGTTGTGGCTTATACTAATTAGTTTGAAAGAAATTCCAGGATCTTTAGAAAAAAATGTTAAATCTGTGGAATTTAATATTAATTATATTCATCGTTTAATTGGTTACGTCGAGGAAATGGAAATTTGATATTAAATCTGATATTTCTAACAAACTTTTTTATTACTTATAAGTTCTCTTGTTCTATATTGGTTGATTGTTATTACTGTCTCGTTTCGATTCATTATTATTTTTTGTTGTTGTTTTGGGTTGTTATTTGTAATTTTGTCTCTTTTTATGTTTTCTTATAATATAGGGTGTTATTGTGTATAGTTTATTCACATTTTGTTATTGGTTTTGATGGTTGGCAGGTAAAAATTGTTTTGATGGATGATGGATTTTAAAGGCACTAACTAATTTGTGTTCTTTGGTTGCTTATTTTATCTTTGTTTAAATCAATGTTCTACTTTATTTCATCACTTCTTAGAATTTCTGAAGTCTTATTGGGTTTTAGTATTATACTGATGTTTTTTTTTTTTTGCTCTTATATTTTCTTATGGTTTGTTCCTGACTGAGCTTTTGGACTTCTCTTTGGTAGATTTTGTATTTCGTCTGTTTTCCTTACTAAATGATTTTTATTTAATGTATATCTGATATTTACTGATAATTCAGATACCCTCTTGCTCTTTACATTATTAGGCTTTGTTTTTAGGTTTTAAGCTATGATGTTCCCTTTCACACTTACTGACTTTGTAGTCCTTTAGAAACTATGTCTTGGTATATTCCTTTATATTTAAATTTAGATGGAAACTTGGTTTCAACCATTTATTTTTAAGGATTTATGCTATAATTTTGTTTCTCTAATTTCTCCTTGGAGTTATTAGGTGTTGTTTTTGGATGAGCTGAGCATAATCTTTTAATATTTTATTTCTTTTAATTCTTTTATATTGCATTATTCTTTTCTTGTGTTGTAGGCTTCATTAAGAAACTTCATGCTTTGGTTATTCTCTTTTGATGATCGGTTCCATATTTTTTGGAGGTGTGTTGCTAGTGATCGAGATGCTCCAATTTTCTGAAATTTGAAGATCTAAATATCTGAAGTTTGAAGCTCCAATTTATCTGAAGTTTGAAGATAGTCCTTCTTTAGTTGTGTCGGTTTTTGTGGTTAATAGTGTTGTTATTATTTTTTGTTCTTTTTCTCTTTTATTCTGGATTATTCTATTTGTATTTTTTATCTTATTCAATAAAGCTGGGTTAGGCCATCAATTTTCCCAAAAAAAAAAAAAAAAAAAAAAAAATACAATCTTACATTTCATCCTCATTGCATCAAAACCTAAATGGAAGGAAAGTATTTCTTTATAGGAGTGGAAATTAATTCTTATAGGAGTAGAAATTCCATCCCTTAAACATCATGTTTTAGTTGAAAATTGAAATTGGGTTATGGGTGATGTACCTATTCAATGGTGAGGTTTATCACAAAAATAATAACTGAGACATTCTCGTTGTTGCTAATATATCATCAATATTAACAATTGTTTTTGGAAAAAAATAAAACGAAATAGAAAGAGAACAAATAAGAAAAAAGTAATTTTTTTAAGGCGGATGGAAATAAAACCATGAAAATGACGTTCAAACAAACTTGAATTTCATTGCTTACCATAAATTGCAACTGCATGGGTGGTCAGCTCTAAGCAGTTTGTCAGCATTCATTAACAATTCCTGCAAAAGAAAATAGCATTGTGAAAAAGCGGAGATAGAATATATAAAATTACGCTTAATAGATGGGATAGTCATTAATGCGAAGGAAGACTAATATGTTTATAAGACAGTTCAAATATTATTGATAGAAAGATTTTTATTTTTATTTTGTGTGAATCAAAACATGATGTATAACCAAATTTGAACTGCTCATACAACTAGTGCAATTATTACTCATAATTTCATTAACACGGGAGTGCATTTGCCCTAGGATCAAGCATTGTTCTCCCACAGCTCTCATGGGCGAGCAGCTCCTTTGCTCTTTTTAACCATCACTTTCTCGTCTGTGAGGCCTTGTGCACGCAGCTCATCTTGTACTTTCTATCAAGCCACTTGTCTGCTTCTCCAGCTCTCGAACTCAGGCACAGCACGACCTCTCTTTTTCTCTAGTGCCAAGGCCTCATGTGTGACATCTCATTCTTCATGTGCTCAAGTTGTGACATCTCATTCTTACTGCACTTTCTATCAAGCCACCCGTCTGCTTCTCCAACTATGAAGGGCCTTCATCTATTCTTTCTCCTATTCTGGTTTTTTGCTTCCCTTTGAATCTGGCACTGCCTTGATCACTGTGCCATGGCAGTTATTTTGACTTTCATTTGGAGTCTTCTTCCCCCCATCTTTTCTCATTCTTCTTGTACTTTCTATCAAGTCACTCTTTCTGCCTCTCCAACTAGGAGAGGCCTTCATCTACTCTCTCTTATTGTGGTTATTTTGCATTCCCTTGAATCTGGCATTGTCTTGATCACATCCTTGATTCAAGACGATGGCATGGCAGTTATTTTGACTTCATTAGGAGTCTTCTCCCCCCCCACCCCCCTTCCCTCATTTGCTGTTGGCTCTTCAGCAGATTATACTACTTTCGTCTTCCGCATTGTCTGCACATAGGATTTCAGTTGAAACCCAATTCGTCGCCACCATATATTCTAGTGGCTCAGATAAATGCAGAGGGTCCCCCTCCTATTTTCACACCTTCAATAACTGCTCTTATTACTGACAAAGGGTGAGAAGTCCTGCGAATGCGGGAAATCCCACGATGGGATCAGCTCCCATTTGTCATATCTGGACCAAACCGGTCCCGGGTTTTTTTTTTTTAATGCTGAGTCGGTCCTCTTGGACCACTACTAATTATCCTGTTACTTTTTTTTTTTGGGTTTTATGTTGGCACTTTTTGGCATGTGTCAGTTTAGGACAGCAGACAGCGTATGTTTTCTCCCTTCAAGGGCTGCATTAAAGGGATTGGGTGATGATCCAACTATAACTTTCCCAAGGTGGTGATTATCATCCCTTATCCCCTTCCGCATACTCCCACATTGCTCTCGGCCACTCTTCGCTGATACGGCGCCCGGAACAGCCTCTTTGTGCTGTTTTTTTGTAATTCATGCTTTCTAGCTGCACTCCACGCCCCTTGAATGCTATTCTAGCTGCCCATATCCATTTCCATTGCCGCCTAGCTGCTGCTCCGGCCACGAGGAACGCCCCTCTGCAGCCTTTTCTATTGTTCCAGCAATTCCGAACCACTTCCCTGCCACTGTCCTAGTCCTTCCCACTTGTTGTCATCGTTGTTCAAGCCCTCCATGTTTGTTTTTGTTGTTGTTCCAACCCTCCTTTGCTGCCATCATCCAAAACAGTCGTGCAACATAAATAACTATTGTGTGCTTGTTGTCTAAAACCCAAGAAAATGTTGCTTTGATGTTTCTTGTTTGCCAACCACCTCACCCACCATCCCTCCACCTTCCAGAACCTCGCCAATCACCACCACCACCCCGAGATTCACCCTAACCAAGTGTCAAAAGAACTCACCACTTTGACTCCTATCTGAAGCCATCTAACACGAGAGTGCTCCCGCTTCAGACAAGGGACGCAAGCCGCAACTCGCACTATTGCGAGAAGCGACAGACGAGAGACGAGCCGAAAGTCTTGTTTTTCTTCATTTTATGTTTTTTTCTATTATCTATATATGTGTTGTACTAAAGATTGATAGTTAGTTTTTTGTGTGAGTTTCTTTAGGACAGCCGTCGGTATTCGTTTTCTCCATTCGAAAGCGGTACCCGATGGATTGAGTGGTTCTCTGAGTGTATCTCTCTCCCGAGGTGGTGATTATCTTCCCCTATCCCCTTTTGCATCCTCCCACATCACTCCCGACTGCCCCCTTCCCTGGTACAACCGCCCGGAACAGCCTTTTTTTGTTGTTTTCTTCAGTTCCTGCGTTTCAGCCGTCTTCCCCGCTCATTGGCTGTTGTTCCAGTCGCCCATATCCACTTCCCTTGCAGCCTCGCTGCCGTTCCGGCCACCAGAAATGCACCTCTGTAGCCTCGGCTATTGTTCCAGCCATTCTGGACCACTTCCCTGCCACCTAGCCACTTTTCTGGCACTCCCCCTTTGTTGTCATCATCTCGGATAGCCACTGTTGTGGCACTCTACCTAGCCACTGTTCTATGCAATGTTAATATCTGTTGTGTACTTGCTATCCAAAACCCCATAAACTGTTGTCATGTTGTTTCCTGCTAGCCAACTACCTCATCCACCATCCCACCACCTTCCCAACCCTCACCAACCACCTCCACCTCCTTCCCAACCCTCACCAACCACCTCCACCTCCCCTAGATCCAACCCTAGTAGGAATTAGTGTGTTTGTTGTTATTTCCCATTTCAGTTGGTTGTTTGTAAATTCCTATTTGTCAATAATAATATTTACTTTCCTATTGTTGGGTGGGTTAACTCCGGTATCACCACCTATCAATCTTATTTAGATTGTATTCTCTCAATTTTACTTTCTGTTGCTAGAGTCCAGAATTAACTGATTGTTAATCCCCAAATCCCTAAACCCTCAATTTGCTCATTGTGAATATCGGTAAATGGTTAAATTTGACGGCAGCAATATTTTTAGACATAATTCTGATTCAAGTCCCAATCAAATGCAAGGAAATATAATCATCTGGCGCAAAAAAAACATATCAATGTTCAGAACCAACCGCCTACACTGCTATGCCCTCATCAAATCAAGCATCTTGGAATTTGGAACCAATGTTATTAGACTTGCTTTGAAATTTGAGACTACTCTGTCTACCCCTACTTTATAAAGACCCAAAAATGACATGTATATAATTAAAAATATTAATATTAATATTCTAGTAAAACTATTGGATACTTTAAGAATTAAACATCAGCATGTGTGTTTATTTAAACTAAAATGATTTTTTCAAAATAATTAAGTTATTAATTAATTACTTAAGAAAAGAGAATAAAATAATTTTTCTAAGAAAAACAATATGAATTGATGGTAATCAGTTCATTGGAAATGACCATTAGCTAGTTCGTTGTTACAAGAAAGGGGAGACAGACGAGGTTGAACAAATATGGAGAGGAAGTTGGTAGTGGCAGAGAGTGAAATAGAAAGGGAAGGCGCTAGGCAGAGCGAGAGAGAGAGAGAGAGAGAGAGAGAGAGAGAGAGAGTGGGGAGGGGGCAAATACAATTGAACTAAGGAGCAAGGAGTGAGCGGGTGAAGCACCGGCACTCCAAGGTTTGAGCTGATTTTTGGGGAAGAGAAAATATATTTCTAAAGCTTCCTCCTTTCTTTCTCTTTCTTCAAATTGAAAACTTAGACCAAAATTTATGTATTGTGTTTATTACTATCACGCTAAGACTACAAATAATATGTATTAATTTCTCTTTCTTTCATTGCAAGCTCATCAATGAGCACGAAAAAGGCTTCATTGAACATTGAAGAATTCAATAAATTATCAGCAGAATGTAAATGAATGAATATCATTTTGAATGCACAATAAGAACCTAGACAACATATGCATTGAATCTGCAGCATATACATGCATATGAACAAAAGGAGTTCATTTTAAAACTCAAAAAAGAAATATGTGCATGCATCAATGATAAAATGCTTGTGCAAATCACAAAATTAGATATGTTCAACCATATCACAAGATGATTTTTAAAATGTACTAATACTTGTGCAAATGCATCATGCATATGAATCGCAAATCATGCAAGACCATTATGCAGGTGCCCCAAGAGCTACGCAAATCACCACATATTAAACATCCGAATGTGCACCAATCAACATGCTAAACACGCAAACCAGCGATCAAAGAGTGTTGAATGGACAAATAATAAACAAAATCATTTGCTCTGACAAACGCGTTGGTAAATGAATGTGGTGTAGACAAACATAAAATAAGTTTGTGTGCATGTACTCCGACGAATGAGTTAAATGTCTGAATTTAAAATCTAAAAATACCAACTAAAAATATAATAAACTCAAACTCAAATTAACTCACTCTTAGATACCTACAAATAAGTTAAAACATCAGTAATTATATTAAAAATATGAACCCTCATTATCAAAGTTAAAGGCAAACGCATTAAACTATGTGCACTCTCAAACAGATCGCCTTTTTTTGTTAAAATAAAGTCTTAGGTCAAAATTAGTTAGTTCGATCCTATTCCTCATAACTGATAAGACTAGTATTTTGGCAATATTCAAGCCATAAACCTCAACCAAATTAAAAATATGAATGATACAAATAATTTTTACCTTGATTATGATTGGGTTAACAAAAAATTCAACCAGGGGTCAAAATTTCTAAACTAAAAATACAAATATTTCTAGCAAGATACTTCAATAATGATAGTATAGATAGAATCTTTTAGCAGAAATGGATCTTGTCAGTAAAATGCCCTTGAGTCCTATGCAAATCATCTAGGGGGATAAATTCAAATAAAGGAAGTTTAAATATACAAAAATATTAAGAATATTATAAATTTTAAAGCATTGAAGTGGAATATATCATCAATGCTAAAAAACTAAAATTCAGCCACCCCAACCCCCTCCCCCTCCAAAACAAAGATCTATCAAGAAAACAAATATAAGATTTGACTTAGTACATAAGAGGCAATATCATCTATGGACACTTTTCAACTATCTCATGTCAATAAAGGCATGACTCGTACCCTCTGACTATGTTATTTTGCCCCTAAATAATACCACAAAAAATAAGTACAGACAGAGCCCTTTAATCGGATGATTTGTTCCTCAATTGACATTATATTATGATTCTAGTAGAAACCTGTGTTAACCAATGGCTTCGCCCATTAAATTAAGAATATCATATGTACTTCATAAAGCACAAAGCTTTCAATTAATTAAGATCAACTTATAATTATTCCCTTAGACAAACCCAGATCTTCAAGTTTCCTTGAACGACACAGCTCATGATTATTCAGAATGACTCTTTGGTCAACTTTATTTAGCTAACTCCTAGTTTAAGTTGATATGGGTCCCCAACATTCTTGGATGATAAAATCATGAGCTTTAAATTGAAGCCATCATCATTCCTCAGAGCATCATCCTCTTTAAGCCAAAAATGATGAACTCTGCAGTATACAACCATATGCAAAGCAATTAGTGACTTAACAACTAGAATTAATCAGAAGTTCTCTCACTAGTGGGAGAATAATTAACCAAAAAGGTTGGTATTTATGGAAAACCTGAAACTAGATTTTAAAATCTTCTCAAAATGAGGATATAATCTATGGATGGAGAGATTTAATATGTTTTCTGAAAATTTCATCTGGAACATTAAAAGGCTCACATAAGAGTAAAGGCGTAAATTTTTGAAGCACAGATCACTTCTATAAATACTCAAATTGAGCTTGAACTAAAGCTCAAATAGGATTTTGGTTAATGAGCTCAAGCTCGAGCAAGCTCTAACTCGGCTTGGCTTGATTCAATCTACAAGCAAGTGCACAGTTAAGATTGACATAAAGTTTCAACCACAAAAACCTACAGATCTCGTAAAGCCTCATATGGAAACCAGGGTTAGTGCATATGCACATTCATTTGTATAGGATATGCATGACTTACATGTGAAAATTCATAGAAAATTCGCTACTAACAATGATAACTGTAAGCTATCTACTAATGTGAAAAAGAGTTGAGTGGAATTTAAGTACAAGTGCATTTGAATTTAGAAAGGATTCCTTCAACAATCTTTAGAAAATTAAATGCAAAAACAAAAAGAAATCCTTCTACATACTATCGTGCTTAGAAATTCAATTAAAAAGTACAAATAAAAGCTAAGTTTGAATTTAAGATGCCTGGCTTTCTCGTGTGCATAAAATAACTTCACTTTCCACCTAAAGCACCAAAAAAAATAAGTGCTAAGAAAATCTTACCATCAACATGATAGGCATTTGAGCGGATAGGTTATTACTTTGAGATGCCAGATAAGTAGCCTGTATATGACGAGAGAAGCAAATTTGAACTATAATCTCTCTTTTCAAATAAAAAACTTGGAGCCATATGTGCAGATGATGTAATAAATATTCCACTCACCTGAGCAGGGAGCAATATTTCAAGCAGTTTAAATCTCTCAAGTAAATTAATAGAGGACACAGCTGCTCCATGTGCCATCATAAAATTCATTTCAAGCATTAATCTTTCCTATAATGAACAAACATGACTTCCATGTTATTATAGAAGAAAGGGTTGCTTGCAATCTTGCACCACAGGAATATTATTCATATACCTTGTTAAGAGTGAGTACGGATGAAGACAAATCTTGTATTGCAGTTTCTGTTTCCTTGGAAAATTTTAAACCCAAGCGTGCTGCTATTCTCATGCCACGGAGAATTTTGGCTTCACCAAAAAAAAAAAAAAAAAAAAAAAAAACCCCCCACACAAAGAAACCAACTTAGTAAATGCGCCTATGAACCCGTAAATTAGAAGGATAAAAGAGAAGAAAAATAAAATGAACTAACCACAATCCTCTTTAAAGGCTAAATGAGGTGGAATTACTGTACGCACCTAAATAACAAAATGCAAGTGGGAATGAAAACCATCAATCTCAAGGACAAGATGTAAATTAATACAAATTAATAAAGTGTCAAAATAATCCTCTGACTACTTACATGGGGTCACTATACTCCCAGAATCTATAAAAATTTCTTTTAATATGAGTTGAAATAGTCCCCCACCCATGGAGGACTATTTTAGCACCTGTTAAAGGAATCTGAAAACTAATTTGACATTTTTATAGGCTCTGAGACTAAAATGGCTCCCTGCAAAGAGTCATGAGACCTTTTTGCCACTTTTCTCTAATACAAATTTACCCCATATACAATAATAAGAGGATAACCACCTTGGATGCCCTTAAATCTTTTAAACCACCAACAAAGTCATAGATTTTGAATTTGAATGGGTCAAAGAACAAACTGTTGCCAAAAATTATGATAATCAGGAGTAACTTATCTGTATGAACAAGGGCAATTCTTAGATAAACAATACCACGTCCAGCACAGGAAAAATGTAATAATGATTTGCAAGTGACAGCCAATGGGTAATAAAGTTGATTGTAGCTATCATATACTAACCAATTAATTGTAAAATCCCGCTCCATGCAGTTCTTCCAGCATGCTAAATCTCTGTTATTACAATTACTTGATTTTTTAGGTAAAATAATTTCTTTTTGTTTATCTCCACTTCTAGCAATAGTGTTGAAGCTAGAAACCTGGCATGCCATCGATGTAATCAACCAAGTGACATTATACATTCAAGCGGGGGTGAAACTCAGATACAGTAAAGGCAAACCTCAATAACATTGCCGGAAATGTAAACCTGGCATATAGGGAATCGACGCCCTATAATAATACATCGACGAAAGTGCTTTTTAATCTGCAAGAAGAACATTTAAATACAAAAAAGCATCCGAATACTAAGTGTACAACCCAATAAGGCACAGCTGTCAATGAAAGAGAGTAGCAAAACCTGTTTTAGACTAGCAGTGGTAATTACATCAAAATCTTTCGGTGTTCTTTTCAGAATTAAATCCCTTACGCACCCTCCAACAAGATATGCTACATACCCTGCCCAAGTAAAAAATTTGAAGGGAAGTTAAAGAAAAGATTGATAATAATGTTTGATAAACAAGAAAGTATTATTCAAACTAAGGCTCCATATGAGAAGACTTCCACCTTCAATTCGATCACACTAAACACTGCTGTCAGAATTATAGACGCTTTGCGGCCGAGCGTTTTCGGAACGTCTCCAGACGTCAAAGTAGAAGGACACAAAGATTTCACCATTTCAGAATGCTCCTGAGGAGTCCCGTTCTGCAACGGGACCGAAGCTCCTTCAAACGGAGCCTAATAAAGGGCTCTTGTTTTTATATTTCTTGTTCATAATTAGAGAAAGTAGAAACGATAAGTTGGTGACTCACCAAATCATGTAACAAAGTTTTGTATGATTTTTCATATAATTTAAGAGTATATGAACTTTTCTGTTCTTTAATCTGAGATTAAATAAAACAAAATTGATAAATCAGGCATTTAGCTGCCTTAGTGCACAGGGTTAAAAGGAGAAAGAAACTGCCAAGAGGAACTTGGCATCTGGCATTTGCATGAAGGATATTGTGACATAATAATGGTTTGGTTTACTAACATGCAAAATTAATGTCAATGTCAAGAGTTCTTTTTTCATGGCATCTTATTCACCATAGAAACGAGCAGATGTTCAAAGATACAACAAATAGACATACACCACTCACTACATATAAAGAAACAGTGACCAAATTTGATATTTTTCAATGCTAACACTACCCCTCAAGCAAGAGTACATATTATCACCAGCTCCGGCTTGTTATATAATCAAGAAAATGGTGGATAAAACTCTCTACTAATAGCTCTTGTAAAAATATCAGACACTTACTTTGAACTGAAACATAAGTGGCAGTCTATTAGAAATGCCAAATGAAATGGAATCAATTACAATATGATTGATTCTTTCATGCAACAGCAGGTTATTGGAAATAAAGATGGTAGCATGATTTTTTGTAGTACAAATCACAAGTTATTGAATATAAAAAAATAACTCCCTTAAGATTATATTTATCAATCTCATTTCACATGCAGGTCAACACTGTCATTGCCGGTCCAAAGCCCGGATGTGAAAAGTGGATGGTTGTGTTAGGTAATCGACAGCCAGCATAAAACTTGTCGAAAGAATCATGGCATGAATCCTTTTAATCATTGTGTAAGTGTTAGGGCGTCCCCTGTAAGCGACGCGCTGTATAGCCAGAATACAGTGAAAAGTGTGCAGAACTGCTACACCGGCGCCCGGGTTTAGTGTCAAATAAGCAAGGATTCCCATATTACGGACGAATGCGGTTAAAGAAGCTGGTCCATGAAAATAATGAAACTAATATTATGATAGGAACTTGGAATATAGGTACTCTCAATGGTAAATTAATGGGTAAATTAATGGAAATAGTTGATATTATGATTCATAGGAAAATTAATATTTTATGTATTCAAGAAATTAATGGGTTGGAGAAAAGGCAAAATAGATTGATAATTTAGGTTTTAAACATTGGTATTCTGGTAAAATTTGTATTAGAAATGGTGTAGGTGTAATTATAGATAAGAGTTTGAAAGATAATGTTGTAAAAACTAATAGAGTTGGAGTTAGAATTATAGCCCTTAAGATTTTCATTGATGCTAAGATTTTTAATATTATTAGTGCTTATGCTCCTCAAGAAGGTTTAGATCTAGGGTCTAAAGGTAATTTTTGGAATGACTCAAAAGATTTAATACAAATGATACCTCTTTAAGAAAGAATTTTTATTAGAGGAGATTTATATGGACATGTCGATAGAGTGGCTGAAGACTTCAAAAATACTCATGGTGGCTATGGTTTTAGAGTAACTAATGAAGAAAGTAGAGTTATTTTAGATTTTGCTTTCGCGTATGATTTTGTTATTACTAATATTTTATTCAAGAAAAGAGATGAGCATTTTATTACTTATAAGAGTAGATCTAATAAAACATAAATTGATTATTTTCTTATGAGAAGAAGAGATCGTCGAGATTGTAAAGATTGTAAGATCATTCCAAGCGAGAATTTAAGTACCCAACATCGTTTACTAGTTCTAGATTTTAAGATTAAGAGATGTAAAATAAAGAATACTAGGACTTATCATCATAGAATTAGATGGGAGAACCTAAAAGACAAATAAAATTATTTTTATGAATAAAATTCAAGTTTTCAAAATTTGGGATGTTCATGAAGAAGCAAATATTATGTGGGATAAAGTAACAAATACTATTAAACAAGTAGCAAAAGATGTGCTTGGGGAATCAAAAGAAAAAATTTTTATGAATAAAAATAGTTGGTGGTAGAATAATAATGTGTAAAAAAAGATAAAATATAAGAAGTTATGTTATAAAAATTGGTTTAAATATAAAAGCTTAGAGAACTAGAAAAAATATTAAACAACTCGCGGGGAGTCTAAAAGATCAATCTGTGACACTAAAAATTCTGTTTTTAATGATTTTTATAATAGATTAGATACTAAGGAGGCTCAAAAATATATATATAAACTAGTCAAATAAAGATAAAAGAAAAGTAAAGATTTAACTTAAGTAAAGTGTTTAACTGATGAAAATAAAAGAAAAGTAAAGATTTAACTTAAGTAAAGTGTATTAAAGATGAAAATCAAAAAGTACTTTTCTTACAAAAAGATATTCAACATAGGTGGGTGAGTTATTTTGATTAACTTTTTAGTGAAATTTCTGAAAATATGTTTGACCTTAGTAATCTTAATATAGTGAATAATAATAAAACGTTTCATTTTTACCGTCGCATTAGTGAGGTTTAAAAAAAAAAACCAAGGGTGGAAAGTCTGTAGGACTTGATGATATCCCAATTGAAGTGTGGAAATATTTAGGAGATTTGAGAATTTCTTGGCTTATTAAACACTTTAATATTATTTTAAAAACTAAAAAGTTGCCTGAGGAGTGAAGAAAGAGTATTTTGGTCCCCATTTTTAAGAATAAAGGGGATGCACAAGAGTGTACAAATTATAGAGGAATTAAGTTGATGTGTCATACTTTAAAGTTATGGGAGAGGGTAATTGAATATAGGTTAAGACGCATTACAAAGATTTCGCATAATCAATTTGGATTTATGTCGGGCAGGTCAACTATGAAAACTATACATTTATTGAGAGGTTTGATGGAGAAGTTTAGAGATAATAAAGATAATCTACATTTGATTTTTATTGATTTAGAAAAAGCTTACGATAAGGTTCCAAGAGATATCCTTTAGAGAGTTCTTGAGAAGAAAGGTGTTGATATGACTTATATTCAAGTCATTAAAGATATGTATATAGAGTTGTTACTTGTGTTCAAACTGAAAGAAGGATTGACCAAATGTTTTCCTATTTCCGTTGGATTACATCAGGGATCGGCTTTAAGCCCGTATATTTTTGCTTTAGTTATGGATGGTTGCTTTAGTTATATTTTTGCTTTAGTTATGGATGGTTTTACTGGACATCTACAGGAGGATGTAGCTTGGTCTATGCTTTTTGCTTATTATATCATTCTCATGGATAAAATGAGAGAAAAAGCCCAGAGAAAACTTGAAAGTCTAAAGGCCTTCATTTAAGTAGACTAAAACTAAATACATGGAATGTAATTTTAATAGTAGCAGCTCTAGTAACAGAAGTGACTTTGGGTGATCAAATTATTAAAAGGTGTGAACAATTTAGATATCTTGGGTCCGTTTTTCAAAGCGATGGTGATATAGATGGGAATGCTAATAGTAGAATTCAAGTTGGTTGGTTGAAGTGGAGGAATGCTTCGGGCTTTTTGTATGATATTAAAGTACCGCTTAGACTGAAAGGAAAATTTTATAAGACGGTGGTGAGACCTGCAATGCTTTATGGCGTTGAATGTTGGCCTTTAAAAGAGAAGCATAATAATAAGTTAAGTGTTGTCAAGATGAAAATGATTAGGTGGATGAGTGGCTTTACATTTAGAGACAAAATGCAATATATCCGTGATAGGATTGGTGTAGCTCCTGTGATAGACAAAATTAGAGAAAGTCGTCTTAGATGGTTTGGTCACATTAAAAGACGACCATCTAATGGTCCGATTAAGAGAGTAGATGTTTTGGATTCGACTTGTATTAAGATAGGCAGAGGTAGACCTAGGAAGACTTGGGCTTATTGTATAAAAAATTATCTTAATTTACTAGAACTAAATGAAAATATGAACTAATAGGACGCAATGGAGAAAAAGGATTCATGTAGCCAACCCCACGTAGTGGGATTAAGGCTTTGCAGTTGTTGTATTTCACATGCAGATCATAGTTTTGTATTCAGTCATAGTACTAGATTTTACTATAATAGTTTGTTTCTTAATTTTTCAAGTGGTCGAATGTCAACCAAAATTTAAAGCCGCATAGATTTATCATAGTGAATATTAGGTCGACCAAATTTGATGTGATCAAAGTTTGTGAGCAAAAATCTTGGAAATCTGCCAAAGAGTTTGATTAGCTTGTTTCCATAACATCGTTGGTGCCAACGAGAGTTAGCCATCATTGTGAATCTTAGTAGCTTTAAACGAAGTGTCAATGGACCCACAGAAAAATTCCATTTGTGAATTGATCAGGAACTACGTATCAAAGTTCCAGAGTTTCACAAATTGGTCAGGCATTAGTAATGGCTTGATCTATCCTCCCAAAGCATAACACAATTTTCTCAGGGTACTTGGAAGGGCTTCAAGTTTAAATGGATGGGTGACTAAAAAAAAATTTTGAATTAATGAAGAATTGCTTGGCAGTAGCACTGATATTGACTCCAATGAAAGTAATTGAAGAATTTCTAGTCTACAGTAATGCATCACTTATGGGGTCCTAGAAGTATTTTAATACAGTACAGTTGTGTAATTGTGTATGCCATCCAATAGTTAAAGCCCATCGAAAATATTATCCCAATCTAAACTTGGAGATTTTGAGTTGGTGAAAATCATTTGTGCTCTCAAAATTTGGTGGCATTATGTTTACAGAGTTTGGGTAGAAATCTTCA